TTAGCTGATGATTGGCCTCTGAGTAAATAATGACTCCTTCTCAGTTATAGACACTTTGAACTATAATTGAAACGTTGAAAATGACTAAACATTGATCTTCTTACATGGTTCCCACAACACACCAACACCTGCTGCTTGTGTGCAGTGATACAATTATATGTGACGTCTTTACAAAGCGTAACACTGTCGGGCAAGTGTCGGCATGTCAAGGCCAGAGTATCAAAATCATAGCATTTCGTCCCGGCTGTGAAAAAACACAGCTTTGAAAATAAATGCAACGTTTTAATATACATATAATACTTATGGAAATGCGTACACATCTCTTCTGGAGTAAGACACAAACTAAATAGTAACGAGTTGAGGACAGTTATACATCAGCAACAATTGATTTCTTGTAAACTCACATATTAAATAAGATAATAAAAGTGGCCATGAGTTGCACAGGCGAGTAAACAAATATCAATGCTGTGATTTGTCTGAAAACATAGTTTGCAATATATGTATTTTTTTACAAAGAAATAAATGAACAAAAATCACACACAAGCTAACAACGTACGTTATAGGCGACGAGTCCAATTTTGTTTACAGTTTCTGTAACAATTTCTACCAAAATCACCTCAATTGATGTGTTCGTTACGACGCTGAAGTGTAGGACTGGTAGGTTCTGTTCGTTGTGTGTTTCCGTCTGTTTCCATGTTTGTTGATGTTGTTATATAAAAATGAACAGTACCAATATTTGAAATACACATATTTCCGTTTATGCATTTATGCTATCATTGAGGAATAAGTATGTGGCTACCAAATAAGGACGTCCAGGAAACAAAATATGAAAACTATCATTAAAACAGGGCACTGGCCTCATTTGTAGTTTATAAACAAGTTTATTTTCTATGAGTAACCTTACCGTAACCTGTGCGCAGTTTTAACCTTTCCAGAGAACAGCCGCTTTACGTACATACATACATAACGACATCCTCGGTTGAGAGGTATACTGAAATATTCATGACAATCTCTACAGGTCTCGTAAAGCCGGGTATATGTAGTATAGTCGTACTATTTACGATGCAACATGACTCATACTGAAAACGCAAAGGGAACGATGTGATATGAGTGTCTGTTCTCAACGTGATGACTAATACCGGGTGTATACGGCAAATGCACTGCGACATCCACACGCGGGGTGTTTATATCATTTATAGTATTGTTACATCATCATATCGGGTGTGTAACTATTGGTAGTACTGTTACATCATCATATCGGGTATGTAACCATTGGTAGTACTGTTACATCATCATATCAGGTGTATCACTATTGGTAGTACTGTTACATCATCATATCAGGTGTATCACTATTGGTAGTACTGTTACATCATCATATCGGGTATATAACTATTGGTAGTACTGTAACATCATCATATCGGGTGTATAAATATTGGTAGTACTGTTACATCATCATACCGGGTGTGTAACTTTTGGTAGTACTATTACATCATCATATCGGGTGTGTAACTATTGATGGTACTGTTACATCATCATATCGGGTGTGTAACTATTGGTATTACTGTTACATCATCATATCGGGTGTGTAACTATTGGTAGTACTGTTACATCATCATATCAGGTGTGTAACTATTGGTAGAACTGTTACATCATCATACCGGGTGTGGAACTATTGGTGGCACTGTTACATCATCATATCGGGTGTGTAACTATTGATGGTACTGTTACATCATCAGTGTAACTATTGGTGGCACTGTAACATCATCACATCAGGTGTGTAACTATAGGTGGCACTGTTACATCATCATGTCGGGTATATAACTATTGTTATTACTGTTACATCATCATACCGGGGGTGGAACTATTGGTGGCACTGTAACATCATCATATCAGTTGTGTAACTATTGGTAGGACTGTTACATCATCATAGCGGGTGTGTAACTATTGCTAGTACTGCTACATCATCATATCAGGGGTGTAACTATTGGTAGTACTGTAACACCATCGTATCGGGTGTGTAACTATTGGTAGTACTGTTACATCATCATATCGGGTATGTAACCATTGGTAGTACTGTTACATCATCATATCAGGTGTGTAACTATTGGTGGCACTGTAACATCATCATATCAGGTGTGTAACTATTGGTAGTACTGTAACATCATCGTATCGGGTGTGTTACTATTGGTAGTACTGTTAAATCATCGTATCGGGTGTGTAACTATTGGTACTGTTACATCATCATATCGGGTGTGTTACTATTGGTAGTACTGTTACATCATCATATCAGGTGTGTAACTTTTGGTAGGACTGTAACATCATCATATCAGGTGTGTAACTATTGGTAGTACTGTAACATCATCGTATCGGGTGTGTTACTATTGGTAGTACTGTTAAATCATCGTATCGGGTGTGTAACTATTGGTAGTACTGTTACATCATCGTATCAGGTGTGTAACTATTGGTACTGTTACATCATCATATCGGGTGTGTAACTATTGGTAGTACTGTTACATCGTCGTATCGGGTGTGTAACTATTGGTAGTACTGTAACATCATCGTATCGGGTGTGTAACTATTGCTAGTACTGTTACATCATCATATCGGGTATATAACTATTGGTAGTACTGTGACATCATCATACCGGGTGTGTAACTATTGGTAGTACAGTTACATCATCGTATCGGGTGTGTAACTATTGGTAGTACTGTAACATCATCATATCAGGTGTGTAACTATTGGTGGCATTGTAACATCATCATATCAGGTGTGTAACTATTGGTAGTACTGTAACATCATCATATCAGGTGTGTAACTATTGGTAGTACTGTTACATCATCATATCGGGTATATATCTATTGGTAGTACTGTTACATCACCATACCGGGTGTGTAACTATTGGTAGTACTGTAACATCATCGTATCGGGTGCGTAACTATTGCTAGTACTGTTACATCATCATATCGGGTATATATCTATTGGTAGTACTGTTACATCACCATACCGGGTGTGTAACTATTGGTAGTACTCTAACATCATCGTATCGGGTGTGTAACTATTGGTAGTACTTTTACATCATCATATCGGGTATATATCTATTGGTAGTACTGTTACAACACCATACCGGGTGTGTAACTATTGGTAGTACTGTAACATCATCGTATCGGGTGTGTAACTATTGGTAGTACTTTTACATCATCATATCGGGTATATATCTATTGGTAGTACTGTTACATCACCATACCGGGTGTGTAACTATTGGTAGTACTCTAACATCATCGTATCGGGTGTGTAACTATTGGTAGTTCTGTTACATCATACCGGGTGTGTAACTATTGGTAGTACTGTTACATAATCATATCAGGTGTGTAACTATTGGTAGTACTGTAACATCATCATATCGGGTGTGTTACTATTGATAGTACTGTTACATCATCATACCGGGTGTGTAACTATTTTACATCATCATATCGGGTGTATAACTATTGGTAGTGCTGTTACATCATCATATCGGGTGTGTAACTATTGGTAGTGCTGTTAAATCAGCGTATCGGGTGTGTAACTATTGGTAATACTGTTACATCATCACATCGGGTGTATAACTACTGGTAGTACTGTTACATCATCATATCGGGTGTATAACTATTGGTAGTGCTGTTACATCATCATATCGGGTGTGTAACTATTGGTAGTGCTGTTACATCATCGTATCGGGTGTGTAACTATTGGTAATACTGTTACATCATCATAATCATATCAGGTGTGTAACTATTGGTAGTACTGTTAAATCATCGTATCGGGTGTGTAACTATTGGCAATACTGTTACATCATCATATCGGGTGTATAACTATTGGTAGTGCTGTTACATCATCATATCGGGTGTGTAACTATTGGTAGTGCTGTTACATCATCGTATCGGGTGTGTAACTATTGGTAGTTCTGTTACATCATACCGGGTGTGTAACTATTGGTAGTACTGTAACAACATCGTATCGGATGTGTAACTATTGGTAGTACTGTAACATCATCGTATCGGATGTGTAACTATTGGTAGTACTGTAACATCATCGTATCGGGTGTGTTACTATTGGTAGTACTGTTAAATCATCGTATCGGGTGTGTAACTATTGGTGGCACTGTTTCATCATCATATCGGGTGTATAACTATTGGTAGTACTGTTACATCATCATATCGGGTGTGTAACTATTGGTAGTGCTGTTAAATCATCGTATCGGGTGTGTAACTATTGGTAATACTGTTACATCATCATATCGGGTGTATAACTACTGGTAGTACTGTTACATCATCATATCGGGTGTATAACTATTGGTAGCACTGTTACATCATCATAATCATATCAGGTGTGTAAGTATTGGTAGTACTGTTAAATCATCGTATCGGGCGTGTAACTATTGGTAGTGCTGTTAAATCATCGTATCGGGGGTGTAACTATTGGTAGCACTGTTACATCATCATAATCATATCAGGTGTGTAAGTATTGGTAGTACTGTTACACCATCATATCGGGTGTGTAACTATTGGAAGTACTGTTACATCATCATATCCGGTGTGTAACTATTGGTGGCACTGGTTCATCATCATACCGGATGTATAACTATTTGTGTAGTATATTGTTACATCACCATATCGGGTGTGTAACTACTGGTAGTACTGTTAAATCATCGTATAGGGTGTGTAACTATTGGCGGCACTGTTACATCATCATATCAGGTGTGTAACTTTTGGTAGTACTGTTACATCATCATATCGGGGGTGTAACTATTGGTGGCACTGTTTCATCATCATACCGGATGTATAACTATTTGTGTAGTATATTGTTACATCACCATATCGGGTTTATAACATTTTAAATAAATATTGTTGTCTGGGTATCCAGGAGCCTTCAATTGAAACACTGTTTTCTAAAAATATTTCAGAAACATTTTTCCTTTCACTTCGTTACTGATAATCACGTTGATTTCGGTTTTAATTTACCTTCCTCTCTTTCAAACCTTTGGCTGGATGACGTCACATGGACAGCTGCACGCGCTGCATGGATGTGTTTGTGGAGAAGTAAATAGACTATTGATTAACTATCAGGAAGTCAGATTTGGGTCAACTATGAACAGTGAAAATAACATAACGTTTTTGTACATTACAGATGATGTATTTACTTAATATTCCATTAAAATGCTGGTCTCGTTTGCACTTAAACTTTATTGTGTGGTTTCATGAATGATATTTGAACTGGAATTTTATCTTGATCATTTAAACCAAAAATAAACTCTAATGCTGTTGGATTTGGAAATTTTCTCCTTTAGATAATATAGACAAAACAGACCACAATTTTTCTCCTTCAGATAATATAGACAAAACATACCACAAGTTTTCTACTTTAGATAATATAGACAAAACATACCACAAGTTTTCTCCTTTAGATAATTTAGATAAAACATACCACAAGTTTTCTACTTTAGATAATTCAGACAAAACATACCACAAGTTTTCTACTTTAGATAATATTGGCAAATATATCACAACTTTTCTTCTATAGATAATATAGACGAAACTGACCACAAGTTTTCTACTTTAGATAATATAGAGAAAACATACCACAAGTTTTCTACTTGACATGGTTAGTAGTGTACACAAAAAAATAGAAAAAAACACCCATGTAAAATACAGTGATTGTCAGATGTATTTTGGTAATACGAAAGTACAATGAATAGTGACTATTATTAAATCGTTCATGTCCGGATAACAAATATTCGCTATCAATGTTTATTGTGTACACAACGGACATCATCGGTATATATTTTCAATTACTTATCTATACAATCTGAATAATGATTTGGTCTCAAATTCAAGTGACAAGTTATTATCTGTAACATCCTCAAAAAGAATTAAAGTTGATTTAAAGAGAACAACTATTTGATGTAATGCGGGCTTATTCAGTAATACCTTAGCAATTATGGTTCCACCTCGAGTTTCGGACAGCTTATGAGCTTACCTACAATCCTACGGCCAACATTCACTGATCGTTTTCGTTGAACAGGAAGTTGGTTGACCAGTGAGGAGATCAGGAAGGCACGAGCGAGGTGGAAAGCGGCGATGATGATGAAGACGACGGACGACGAGGATCTTGTCCTTCCGAACGATAACGGGAGTGGATGGATGATGCAGAAGGATGGAGAGGTTCAACATTTTACACGTTATACGGGTAGGTATCTTAGAAGTTTACACACTATACGGGTGGGTATCTTAGAAGTTTACACGTTATACGGGTGGGTACCTTAGAAGTTTACACGCTATACGGGTGGGTATCTTAGAAGTTTACACGTTATACGGGTAGGTATCTTAGAAGTTTGCACGCTATACGGGTGGGTATCTTAGAAGTTTACACGTTATACGGGTAGGTATCTTAGAAGTGTACACGTTATACGGGTGGTTATCTTAGAAGTTTACACGTTATACGGGTGGGTATCTTAGAAGTTTACACGTTATACGGGTAGGTATCTTAGAAGTTTACACGTTATACGGGTAGGTATCTTAGAAGTTAACATGTTATACGGGTGGGTATCTTAGAAGTTTACACGTTATATGGGTAGGTATCTTAGACGTTTACACGTTATACGGGCAGGTATCTTAAACGTTTACACGTTATACGGCTGGGTATCTTAGAAGTTTACACGTTATACGGCTGGGTATCTTAGAAGTTAACACGTTATACGGGCAGGTATCTTAAACGTTTACACGTTATACGGGTAGGTATCTTCGAAGCTAACATGTAATACGGGTAGGTATCTTAGAAGTTAGCACATTATACGGGTAGGTATCGTAGAATTTAACACGTTATACGGGTAGGTATCATAGAAGTTAACACGTTATACGTTTAGGTATCTTCGAAGCTAACATGTTATACGGGTGGTTATCTTAGAAGTGTATACGTTATATGGATAGATATCGTAGAATTTAACACGTTATACGGGTAGGTATCTTAGAAGTTTACACGTTAAACGGGTAGGTATCTTCGAAGTTAACATTGTATACGGGTAGTTATCTTAGAAGTTAACATGTTATACGGGTGGGTATCTTAGAAGTTAACATGGTATACGTGTAAGTATCTTAGAAGTTTACATGTTGTACGGGTGGGTATCTTAGAAGTTAACACGTTATACGGGTGGGTATCTTAGAAGTTTACACCTTACACGGGTAGGTATCTTCGAAGCTAACATGTTATACTGGTAGGTATCTTAGAAGTTAGCACATTATACGGGTAGGTATCGTAGAATTTAACACGTGATACGGGTAGTTATCTGAGAAGTTAACATGTTATACGGGTAGGTATCTTCGAAGCTAACATGTTATACGGGTAGGTACATTAGAAGTTAATATGTTATACCTGTATGTATCTTAAAAGTCAACATGTTGTACGGGTATGTATCTTAGAAGTTAACACGTTATACGGGTAGGTATCTGAGAAGTTAACTCGTTATACGGGTGGGTATCTTAGAAGGTAACATGCTGTACGGGTAGGTATCTTAGAAGTTTACACGTTATACGGGTGGGTATCTTAGAAGTTTACACGTTATACCGGTAGGTATCCTAGAAGTTTACACGTTAAACGGGTGGGTATTTTAGAAGTTAACACGTTATACGGGTGGTTATCTTAGAAGTGTATACGTTATACGGATAGGTATCTTAGAAGTTAACACGCAATACGGGTAGGTATCTTAGACGTTTACACGTTATACGGGCAGGTATCTTAAACGTTTACACGTTATACGGGCAGGTATCTTAAACGTTTACACGTTATACGGCTGGGTATCTTAGAAGTTTATATTTTATACGGGTTGGTATCTTAGAAGTTTACAGGTTATACGGGTGGGTATCTCAGAAGTTTACACGTTATACCGGTAGGGATCCTAGAAGTTTACACGTTAAACGGGTGGGGATTTTAGAAGTTAACACGTTATACGGGTAGGTATCTGAGAAGTTTACACGTTATACCGGTAGGTATCCTAGAAGTTTACACGTTAAATGGGTGGGTATTTTAGAAGTTAACACGTTATACGGGTAGGTATCTGAGAAGTTTACACGTTATACCGGTAGGTGTCCTAGAAGTTTACACGTTAAACGGGTTGGTATTTTAGAAGTTAACCCCTTATACGGGTGGTTATCTTAGGAGTGTATACGTTATATGGATAGATATCTTAGAAGGTAACATGTTATACGGGTAGGGATCTTAGAAGTTTATATTTTATACGGGTTGGTATCTTAGAAGTTTACATGTTATACGGGTAGGTATCTGAGAAGTTAACTCGTTATACGGGTGGGTATCTTATAAGTTTAAACGTTATACGGGTAGGTATCTGAGAAGTTAACTCGTGATACGGGTGGGTATCTTAGACGTTTACACGTTATACGGCTGGGTATCTTAGAAGTTTACACTGTATACGGGTAGGTATCTTAGAAGCGTACATGTTGTTCGGGTAGGTATCTTAGAAGTTAACATGTTACACGGGTAGGTATCTTAGAAGTTTAGACTTTATACGGTTAGGTATCTTAGAAGTTAACATGTTATACGGGTAGGTATCTTAGAAGTTTATATTTTATACGGGTTGGTATCTTAGAAGTTAACATGGTATACGGGTAGGTATCTGAGAAGTTAACATGTTATACAGGTAGGTATCTTAGAAGTTTATACTTCATACGGATAGGTATAGTAGAAGTTAACACGTTATACAGGTAGGTATCTTAGAAGCTTACACGTTATACGGATAGGTATAGTAGAAGTTAACATTTTATACAGGTAGGTATCTTAACATCCGTTCGGTACATCGCGTTATATCGGTAAAAGTTCGTATTTACTGTCCAAATACTGTAATAAGGGGCAGGCATGGATGCGGGTTGGCAATTGTGTAAGGCTTTCAGGGATTAACGTCGCACACATAGTCCAGCCATAACTCTATAGGTAATAACACTGTTTCTCTGTTGGTACCTAAAATATCAAGCTAGTGCATGTCACATGAAATAATTAGGAAAATGACATGTTGCATATAAACACTTAATACCGTATCTCTTTTTCCCTTGATTAACTAAAATAGCTGAAAAGCTATCGTATGCAATTTGGACACAAGTCGGTAAGGAGAAAGGGAAATTATTTTACATGTATATTGCTGTATACATAAAATTCTAAGGATTTAAACATCGTCATATGTCATTTTCATTCTGATTGATGAGGAGCCAAGCTTACTATCACTGGTTTTACACAAAACTTTACAGAAAACACCAAAAAAAATACCAAAATGTAAACAAAACAATAATTCGAACTAAAAATCAATAAAACTAAGGGAAAATATTAACAACGAAAAAAAAAGACCCTTGACAAAATACAAGGAGAATAAGACAAGGGGTTCCGGAAGGGAAGGCGTCTTGTGCTTCATCACCGACACCCGCTATGTAAGTCTAGGTCAAATCGAAGTAATGTCAGGTCATCATATCGAGAGTTTGGATAGTGGCAAGAAAATCACAAGGCACACTAATATACCCACAAGGAAATAGCCTAAACTACATATCTGGAAACCCAGTGTTGTAAGATTATCCGTCAGCAGTCGACCTCTATCATGGAATCCTGATATTCGAAGCAAGATCTTGAATGTCCAATCAACTGCGACATGTAAACACCGTAACAATCGGGGGCAGGATGTTACTATCAGGAAAGGGAAAGTTTACGATCGGAAAACCGAAATCGCCTCGCCTATTTTGAAGTAAAGATCGAGGAAAACGGCAGATGTAGAAAAAGTTTCTCGTGTCGTTAACATCAAGCTTAGTAGGGTATATACGATGAACGTTTTCAATCAATTTCTAGTTATTTAAAGACAGCATATCGGAGATATATATGAACTGAAATCGAAGGACTTGGCTAGATTTTGGTTACCAGTCCTGATAAGCTCATTAATAAAATCAGCTCCATATGAAAACAAAACAAAATCGGCTAGAATATGTGCACTGTTTGTTCTGATAGGAGTGTGGCAAGCTTGCCACTGAGCTCAACAAGGATGTGGTCAACCTTGAACTCTCAGTATATTTCAATTTGGCCTCTGTCGTACTTTTTTACAAAATTTGCTGGAAAAGTTTTCCAACCATATATTGATGTCTTCGTTCGCCTTTTTTTTTGCAAAAGAAATTTATGCAACTTTTTTAGTTTGTAGCGTCACAATGCGACTGTTCCCCTTATGTAATAGTGAACGGATGGAAAAAACTAGCATGTCTTTTTTACTGGCATATGTCTCTTGTATACGAAATGCTATGTCGCTAAATAAAGGTCGTTTTCACAAGATTACTCAAGGAATGTAACAAAACTATACATCTTACTTTCACGAAGCAAACCTCAAAGAGTTGGACAAATTACAATGCCTTTTTGTCGTTTTTCATGAAACTCGAAGGATTGAAATGAGATGTCATCAACACCTACCAGATAAAGACATGTCCAGAACTAACAAAATGTCATCACCATGCCCTCAAGTCCACACATCTGAAAGTTCAAACCAAATGTCGCCCTCATGTCCCCTTTTCCATAATTAAATCTATCAGATCAAATGAAACGTCACCATCATGCACTCCATTTAATAAATAAATCTACCAGACCATCACACCCTCAAGTCCATAAATGAGTCTATCAGGCCATACAAACTTCACCATCACTCCCTCAAGTCCATAAATGAGTCTATCAGGCCATACAAACTTCACCATCACTCCCTCAAGTCCATAAATGTGTCTATCAGACCATACAAACTTAACCATCACACCCTCAAGTCCATGAATGAGTCTATCAGATCATACAAACTTCACCATCACGCCCTCAAGTCCATAAATGTGTCTATCAGACCATACAAACTGCACCATCACACCCTCAAGTGCATAAATGAGTCTATCAGATCATACAAACTTCACCATCACCCCCTCAAGTCCATAAACGACTCTATCAGACCATACAAACTCCCCCATCACACCCTCAAGTCAATAAATGAGTCTATCAGGCCATACAAACTTCACCATCACGCCCTCAAGTCCATAAATGTGTCTATCAGACCATACAAACTGCACCATCACACCCTCAAGTACATAAATGAGTCTATCAGCCCATACAAACTTCACCATCACCCCCTCAAGTCCATAAACGACTCTATCAGACCATACAAACTTCACCATCACACCCTCAAGTTCTCGTTGAGATCTGATAGACTCATGTATGGACTTTGAGGCACAGTGTGATGCAATGTATATTCGGAAAGATGGCGACATGTTTGCATTCGTTACGGCAAGTAGGTCAACTGTCAAAGCTAGTAATACCATTCAGAAATTAAAATAAATAATGACAACTTACTAATTACTTTGTGAGACGTCCTTTCAGTCGAATGTCACTCAACAATCTCGGGGGAATAGATCGGTACAGGCATTTAACATAGTCTATATTTAAGAGTGTTTAGGTTTTCTAACGGAAGGATAATTCGACAATTACATACGTAGTTACATTGTTATACGTACACTGTTAAAACACAAGTGAACGTTTTGAGTCATCGCAATATTGAGCCAACTTTGTTTTGAGATTTTTTACATTCTTAATTTTGAGAGTCCAGACTGTTTGTAAAAAGTTAATGAGACGGGTAGGTTGGCGCTACGGTTACGCGGTATTAAACGTACTAGTGTATAGTGAACGCGCCGGTCCCGGTATCACCTGTACTGTGGGTGGGAAATATTGTTAGTCTTCTACCTTACTAATTGGTTTATAATTGCAGTTTCCTTGCCTCGCTATCTTACTGGTTAATGAAAAAAAATCTTGATTCGACCTAATATACAACATCGTGATTTGAAAATGGCATCACACCTCCGTCACAATTAGGTCATTATTCCTTGTAACAGTCTTTGGCTATGACCAGTAGACTAGATACATCGCAGCGCTGCCACGCTATATACCAGCAGGCTATGCTTTAGAGGTACTATTATCACTGAGAATTGAGATAGGCAATACTGTCAGGCTGTGATCAGGAGTACATATTATCGCCACAGAACTACCACAGGTAGCATTGTCAGGCTATTGGTACATGTTCTGTCACCATTTTTAGGTCACCTGAGCTTTAGCTCAAGTGACCTATTGCTATCCGTTTTCGTCCGTCGTCGTCCGTCGTCCGTCGTCCGTCGTCCGTNATTATTCCTGAGGGAGGCATAGAAGGTATCATTAGGCGAAGTTCTGTAGTAATATCAACAAGCTACGAACACTATTACTAGACTATGGGCATAGTATTAATGCAATATCATCGAACTAGGTGTGATAAGGTCGGGAACTGTAACAAGATGATGATGAAGTCGGCACTATGGTTAACCTATAGCATCACCTCGTTATACGTAACATAACTAGGTTATGGGTACAATCAATGTTTTATATTACCAGTCGGAGGGTTTTATTATCAAAGCTTTGTGTATTTTAACCACGGAATGAGTGATATCCCCCGCCGAAAGGTACTATCAACAAGCTAGGGGTACTTGAACCAAGTTATGGGTGATTCCAACAACCATAGCGTACTATCATCAAGCTATGAGTTCTGTAACTAACATAGAGTAATGTTATAAGGTTATTGAAACCGCCAGCACGTTATGTGTAAATTAAACATCCTATGCTTGCTGTCATCATGCTATGAATGACGTCATCTGTGTTGTCACCCAACAGTACCCCGTGTCATATATATTTACATTGGTTATAACATGTAACCTTACGTTTGACAGACTATATAAGGATATAAGTTATTAGGCTTACATTTAACACTGCTCTTTCTCTATGTGTTATGACGATTTTAACAATTTTACTTCTAAGGTAAGATTTGAAGAGGGATATGATGATTTTTTTAGCAAAAGTGTTATATTCTAGATTAGGTATTCATTCTTAATGTTTTTGCTATTTTAGACATTTCTATCCAAAACAAAAGCATCTAGTGTCATTATCCGTATCAGCATATTATTTAAAACCTAAACTGCCTTTGGAAATATAATTATTCTATTTGTTTACAGGTTCAGCATCGAGATTACATACGTCGACGTGCTGCCGACTGGGCAGAGTCTCGGCTACACGAGGGAAGCCGTGTCACAGCGGCTACTACAGCAACCAGTTAAATGTGAAGCTCCGACGATACCGTTTATATCGCTATAAACAGAGATTAAAGCTGTTACGGAGTCGTTATGGTATCAATTACAGACAAAATAGCATGGATAAGTACCAAAAGTGTGCTCTTCGTCGCCAGAGTCAATTCCAAAAATGTTGTAATGCTGTGTATTACCATAAGAAACGACGACATCGAAACTGGCGCATGTATGCTAGATACCGGAACTCTCTCTCTAAACGGAAGGGCCGTCGACACTGAGGATTATGGGTAATAACATTTTTAAATGCAATTTAATTGTTCTCATTCAGGAGTCAGTAAAATAAATGTCTCGTTGTTGTTATTTCATAAAAGGCGTCATGTTATTTGTTCTTAAATACTCGTCATCATCAATACAACTAATACAATATTTATGTTTACACCTTACTTGTTCAAGGTTGATAAGTATGCACCCAACTTGAATAGCAAATATACAAGCAATAACGAACACAAAGATGTCTAACTGACAGCCATCTTGTTTTTTCTGATCAGTTTCAAACTGATACATGCACAACTATGTACCAAGGAAATCCAACATATGAAATACGAGAAAGATCTGTAAAATACCCATTGAGAAATACCGATAACGTACTGTCGAAATCAAAGATGGCTGTCAGGCGACGGTCTTTAACTTTCCCAGTCTCAAAATGAAACATGCACAATAATAGACCAAGATAAACCAACATATGAAAGAGGTATGGCGGAAAACTGCCCGTATTTCCCTAAATCGGCATTTATGAAAACGGGAGAAAAAAAACTATGGAGTAAAACATTTCGTGTAGCAAAAATGTATACAAAAGATACAAAACCAATTGAATATGAATTTTTAAACTGCTTAGAAATTAGGTATTGCTAATATGATACTGCAAATATAGCCATATACACTATATCTATGAAAGTGATGGGGTTTCCCGGAGTTAAAAAAAATACTTTCAACATGGAAAAGAAATGAAGAATGTATGATCGATATCTATATAGTAATACTAGATGGTATCTAGGGATTGGGTCTGACGGTTGTTTTGGTATGTGTATATAATCGAATACGTTTAATGTCCTACGTGGAGAAACTCTGTCAGATCACATCAGCTTTACCTCGGTTAATAATTACTGATGTCCTAAGGGGAGAAACTCTGTCAGATCACATCTGCTTTACCTCTGTTTTTATAACTGATGTCCTATGTGGAGAAACTCTGTCAGATCACAGCAGCTTTACCTCTGTTAATAATAACTGATGTCCTAAGGGGGGAAACTCTGTCAGATCACAGCAGCTTTACCTCTGTTAATAATAACTGATGTCCTAAGTGGAGAAACTCTGTCAGATCCCATCTGCTTTACCTCTGTTTTTATAACTGATGTCCTACGTGGAGAAGCTCTGTCAGATCACATCTGCTTTCCCTCTGTTATTATAACTGATGACCTAAGGGGAGAAACTCTGTCAGATAACATCAGCTTTACCTCTGTTTTTATAACTGATGTCCTACGTGGAGAAACTCTGGCAGATCACATCAGCTTTCCCTCTGTTATTATAACTGATGTACTAAGGGGGGAAACTCTGTCAGATCACATCTGCTTTCCCTCTGTTATTATAACTGATGTCCTCAGGGGAGAAACTCTGTCAGATAACATCAGCTTTACCTCTGTTTTTATAACTGATGTCCTACGTGGAGAAACTCTGGCAGATCACATCAGCTTTAGCTCTGTTATTATAACTGATGACCTAAGGGGAGAAACTCTGTCAGATAACATCAGCTTTACCTCTCTTATTATAACTGATGTCCTCAGGGGAGAAACTCTGTCAGATAACATCAGCTTTACCTCTGTTTTTATAACTAAAGTCCTAAGGGGAGAAACTCTGTCAGATCACATCAGCTTTACCTCTGTTTTTGTTCACAATTGGCAGTTTTTTAATTATAACGAATGTTTGTTTGGCGTTCTGCAACAGCAGATGTACATCTAACACAACATAAAAATAGAAATAGAGTTATGCTTAAAAAATATGTCATCATATTAGAAAATGAAGCTAATAAAAGTAACTAAAGATCGAGGAGGGCAGCTGATGTAATAGTTTCAATTAAAATAGTTAATAATTAAATTCACTTCGATTTCTTTTTCCATTCATATTCCAATTCTATCATATACCTAGAAAAACAATGTTTGCCTCGCTAATGGTTTAATTAAATCAATAACTAATTAGTATACATACTTTAGAGGCCATACATGTAAAATTTAGGGTAAGGGTACAAAATTTTAGATATTTTATTTTGATGATAATAACATATTTGTTTTGTTTTTGTTAATTCATCTATGGACATACAGCATGCAAAGCTTTCTTAATCAAATTTGCTTTAATTTCTCATATCGCACCAAAGTAGTTCTAGATTTCCAGAGTGTAATATTTTTTTACAATCCCACTTTCTTTCACTTCTTACATCACTGATAGCTTACATCACTCATGAACTGAGTCAGTATAAATGAGCAGTAAATCTAGGTGATTAATGGGAGATAAAAGTCTAGTAAACGTCACCTCTTACACGAACACGAAATATGACCCCTACAGCATACCCAGACATATAATAATTATGATCATGTATGATTCTCCTATAATATTTTTGATTCAATTGATATTTTTCCTGTTTAAAGCAAATATATTTTGAGGATACTGCTGCTGATCGTGTTATGAGAGGAAATCCAAGACAGATACAATCCTTTCTCATTGTGATAAACTAACAGGTAGCACGGAAACAGTGACTATATATAGCTAAACAGTGACTATATATAGCTAAACAGTGACTATATATAGCTAAACAGTGACTATATATAGCTAAACAGTGACTATATATAGCTAAACAGTGACTATATATAGCTAAACAGTGACTATATATAGCTAAACAGTGACTATATATAGCTAAACAGTGACTATATATAGCTAAACAGTGACTATATATAGCTAAAGACGTGAACGTATAACACTATAAAACCAACTCATTATACACTGCAGTTGTATTTCTACATAAAGCAATATTAATTTCGTTGAAATTATTGTATCAATAGGTTTCCACGACTGAGAACATGTAAAGTCTTCGTATCCAAATTTTATGTTGTATTAATGGAAATTACAGAAAATGAAACAACAGCACACCAAAACTGTCGTAAACAGTGGTGTATTGAGAGGCCACACACAGGGAACTAGTCTACACAAAATACTATATATGTCACTGTCTAAACCCGATACTATATATGTCACTGTCTAAACCCGATACTATATATGTCACTGTCTAAACCCGATACTATATATGTGACTGTCTAAACCCGATACTATATATGTCACTGTCTAAACCAAAAACTATCAATTTAAATGTCTATATGTCACTGTCTAAACCCGATACTATATATGTCACTGTCTAAACCCGATACTATATATGTCACTGTATAAACCCTATACTATTTATGTCACTGTCTAAACCCGATACTATATATGTCACTACCTAAACCCGATACTATATATGTCACTGTATAATCCCTATACTATTTATGTCACTGTCTAAACCCGATTCTATATATGTCACTGTTTAAACCCGACACTATACATGTCACTGTCTAAACCCGATACTATGTATGTCACTGTCTCAACCCGATACTCTATATGTCACTGTCTAAACCAGATACTATGTCACTGTCTAAACCCGATACTATATATATCACTGTCTAAACCCGATACTATTTATGTCACTGTCTAAACCCGATACTCTATATGTAACTGTCTAAACCCGATACTATATATGTGACTGTCTCAACCCGATACTATATATGTCACTGTCTACACCCGATACTATATATGTCACTGTCTACACCCGATACTATATATGTCACTGTCTACACCCGATACTATATATGTCACTGTCTACACCCGATACTATATATGTCACTGTCTACACCCGATACTATATATGTCACTGTCTACACCCGATACTATATATGTCACTGTCTACACCCGATACTATATATGTCACTGTCTAACCCCGATACTATGTATGTCACTGTCTAAACCCAATACTCTATATGTCACTGTCTAAACCCGACACTATATATATCACTGTCTAAACCCGTTCCTATATATGTCACTGTTTAAACCCGATACTATATATGTCACTGTTTAAACCCGATACTATATATGTCACTGTTTAAACCCGACACTATACATGTCACTGTCTAAACCCGATACTATGTATGTCACTGTCTCAACCCGATACTATATATGTCACTGTCTGAACCCGATACTATATATGTCACTGTCTCAACCCGATAATATATATGTCACTGTCTAAACTCGATACTATATATGTCACTGATACTATATATGTGACTGTCTAAACCCGATACTATATATGTTACTGTCTAAACCCGATACTATATATGTAACTGTCTAAACCCGATACTATATATGCCACTGTCTAAACCCGATACTATATATGTAACTGTCTAAACCCGATACTATATATGTAACTGTCTAAACCCGATACTATATATGCCACTGTCTAAACCCGATACTATATATGCCACTGTCTAAACCCGATACTATATATGCCACTGTCTAAACCCGATACTATTTATGTCACTGTCTAAACCCGATTCTATATATGTCACTGTCTAAACCCGATGCTTTATGTGTCACTGTCTAAGCCCGATACTATATATGTCACTGTCTAATCCCGATACTATATATGTCACTTTCTAAACCCGATACTATATATGTCACTTTCTAAACCCGATACTATATATGTCACTGTATAAACTCGATACTATATATGTCACTGTCTCAACCCGACACTATATATATCACTGTCTAAACCCGTTCCTATATATGTCACTGTTTAAACCCGATACTATATATGTCACTGTATAAACTCGATACTATATATGTCACTGTCTCAACCCGACACTATATATATCACTGTCTAAACCCGTTCCTATATATGTCACTGTTTAAACCCGATACTATATATGTCACTGTCTACACCCGATACTATATATGTCACTGTCTAACCCTGATCCTATATATGTCACTGTCTAAACCCGATATTATATATGTCACTGTCTAAACTTAATACTATATATGTCACGGTCTAAACCCGATACTATGTATGTCACTGTCTCAACCCGATACTCTATATGTCACTGTCTAAATCCGACACTATATATATCACTGTCTAAACCCGATACTTTATATGTCACTGTCTAACCCCGATACTATGTATGTCACTGTCTAACCCCGATACTATGTATGTCACTGT